ATGTGTAAATGTCGGCTGGCTGGGAGGTTCAAGTGTAGATATCCACTGTAAATGTCGGATGCGTGGCAGAGTGATGTGTAAATGTCGGGTGGGTGGGAGAGTGATGTGTAAATGTCGGCTGGCTGGGAGGTTCAAGTGTAGATATCCACTGTAAATGTCGGATGCGTGGCAGAGTGATGTGTAAATGTCGGGTGGGCGAGAGAGTGATGTGCAAATGTCGGCTGGCTGGGAGGTTCAAGTGTAGATATCCACTGTAAATGTCGGGTGGGCGAGAGAGTGATGTGTAAATGTCGGCTGGCTGGGAGGTTCAAGTGTAGATATCCACTGTAAATGTCGGGTGGGCGAGAGAGTGATGTGCAAATGTCGGCTGGCTGGGAGGTTCAAGTGTAGATATCCACTTTAAATGTCGGGTGGGCGAGAGAGTGATGTGCAAATGTCGGCTGGCTGGGAGGTTCAAGTGTAGATATCCACTGTAAATGTCGGGTGGGTGGGAGAGTGATGTGCAAATGTCGGCTGGCTGGGAGGTTCAAGTGTAGATATCCACTGTAAATTTCGGGTGGGTGGGAGAGTGGTGTGTAAATGTCGGGTGAGTGGGAGAGTGATGTGTAAATGTCGGATGGGTTGCAGAGTGATGTGTAAATGCCGGGTGGGTGGGAGAGTGATGTGTAAATGTCGAGTGAGTGGGGGAGTGATGTGTAAATTTCGGGTGGGTGGGAGAGTGATGTGTAAATGTCGGGTGGGTGGGAGATTGATGTGTAAATGTCGGGTGGGTGGGAGTAGTGATGTGTAAATGTCGGGTGGGTGGGAGAGATGTGTAAATGTCGGGTGGGTGGAAGAGTGATGTGTAAATGTCGGGTGGGCGAGAGAGTGATGTGTAAATGTCGGGTTGGTGGGAGGGTGATGTGTAAATGTCGGATGGGTGGGAGAGTGATGTGTAAATGTCGGATGTGTGCGAGAGTGGTGTGTAAATGTCGGGTGGGCGAGAGAGTGATGTGCAAATGTTGGGTGAGTGGCAAAGTGATGTGTAAATGTCGGATGTGTGCGAGAGTGATGTGTAACTGTCGGATGTGTGCGAGAGTGGTGTGTAAATGTCGGGTGGGCGAGAGAGTGATGTGCAAATGTTTGGTGAGTGGCAGAGTGATGTGTAAATGTCGGATGTGTGCGAGAGTGATGTGTAACTGTCGGATGTGTGCGAGAGTGGTGTGTAAATGTCGGGTGGGCGAGAGAGTGATGTGCAAATGTTGGGTGAGTGGCAAAGTGATGTGTAAATGTCGGGTGAGTGGGGGAATGATGTGTAAATGTTGGGTGAGTCGGGGAGTGTTGTGTAAATGTCGGGTGGGTGGCAGAGTGATGTTTAAATGTGTGGTAAGTGGTGGAGTGATATGTAAATGTCGGGTGAGTGAGGGAGTGATGTGTAAATTTTGATTAGTTGGAGAATGATGTGTAAATGTCGGGTGGGCGAGAGAGTGATGTGTAAATGTCGGATGCGTGGCAGAGTGATGTGTAAATGTCGGGTGGGTGGGAGAGTGATGTGTAAATATCGGCTGGCTGGGAGGTTCAAGTGTAGATATCCACTGTAAATGTCGGGTGGGCGAGAGAGTGATGTGTAAATGTCGGCTGGCTGGGAGGTTCAAGTGTAGATATCCACTGTAAATGTCGGGTGGGCGAGAGAGTGATGTGCAAATGTCGGCTGGCTGGGAGGTTCAAGTGTAGATATCCACTGTAAATGTCGGGTGGGCGAGAGAGTGATGTGAAAATGTCGGCTGGCTGGGAGGTTCAAGTGTAGATATCCACTTTAAATGTCGGGTGGGTGGGAGAGTGATGTGCAAATGTCGGCTGGCTGGGAGGTTCAAGTGTAGATATCCACTGTAAATGTCGGGTGGGTGGGAGAGTGATGTGCAAATGTCGGCTGGCTGGGAGGTTCAAGTGTAGATATCCACTGTAAATGTCGGGTGGGTGGGAGAGTGATGTGCAAATGTCGGCTGGCTGGGAGGTTCAAGTGTAGATATCCACTGTAAATTTCGGGTGGGTGGGAGAGTGGTGTGTAAATGTCGGGTGAGTGGGAGAGTGATGTTTAAATGTCGGATGGGTTGCAGAGTGATGTGTAAATGCCGGGTGGGTGGGAGAGTGATGTGTAAATGTCGAGTGAGTGGGGGAGTGATGTGTAAATTTCGGGTGGGTGGGAGAGTGATGTGTAAATGTCGGGTGGGTGGGAGATTGATGTGTAAATGTCGGGTGGGTGGGAGTAGTGATGTGTAAATGTCGGGTGGGTGGGAGAGATGTGTAAATGTCGGGTGGGTGGAAGATTGATGTGTAAATGTCGGGTGGGCGAGAGAGTGATGTGTAAATGTCGGGTTGGTGGGAGGGTGATGTGTAAATGTCGGATGGGTGGGAGAGTGATGTGTAAATGTCGGGTGGGTGGGAGAGTGATGTGTAAATGTCGGGTGGGCGAGAGAGTGATGTGTAAATGTCGGGTGGGCGAGAGAGTGATGTGTAAATGCCGTATGGGTGGGAGAGTGATGTGTAAATGTCGAGTAAGTGGGAGAGTGATGTGTAAATGTCGAGTGAGTGGGAGAGTGATGTGTAATTGTCGGATGGGAGGCAGACTGATGTGTAAATGTCGAGTGAGTGGGAGAGTGATGTGTAAATGTCGAGTGAGTTGGGGAGTGATGTGTAAATGTCGAGTGAGTTGGGGAGTGATGTGTAAATGTTGGGTGAGTTCGGAGTGGTGTGTAAATGTCGGGTGGGTGGGAGAGTGATGTGTAAATGTCGGCTGGCTGGGAGGTTCAAGTGTAGATATCCACTGTAAATTTCGGGTGGGTGGGAGAGTGATGTGTAAATGTCGGGTGGGTGGGAGAGTGATGTGTAAATGTCGGATGGGTTGCAGAGTGATGTGTAAATGCCGGGTGGGTGGGAGAGTGATGTGTAAATGTCGAGTGAGTGGGGGAGTGATGTGTAAATTTCGGGTGGGTGGGAGAGTGATGTGTAAATGTCGGGTGGGTGGGAGATTGATGTGTAAATGTCGGGTGGGTGGGAGAATGATGTGTAAATGTCGGATGGGTGGGAGAGTGATGTGTAAATGTCGGGTGGGTGGGAGAGATGTGTAAATGTCGGGTGGGTGGAAGAGTGATGTGTAAATGTCGGGTGGGCGAGAGAGTGATGTGTAAATGTCGGGTGGGTGGGAGGGTGATGTGTAAATGTCGGATGGGTGGGAGAGTGATGTGTAAATGTCGGGTGGGTGGGAGAGTGATGTGTAAATGTCGGGTGGGCGAGAGAGTGATGTGTAAATGTCGGGTGGGCGAGAGAGTGATGTGTATATGCCGTGTGGGTGGGAGAGTGATGTGTAAATGTCGGGTGGGTGGGAGAGTGATGTGTAAATGTCGGGTGGGTGGGAGAGTGACACGCACATTGATTGAGTGGTGTGTACATGGACTGCACTGCTACCATCACACAGAGAGATTGTGTAGACTCTTGTTTCTGACCAATGATCAGGTGATAGTCCATCAGTGTCATGTGGTGTGTCATGTGGTGTGTCATGTGGTGTGTCATGCTGATGTGTTACCTTACGAGATACGGGGAAGTACGAATTATCTGTGAGTCAGACAAGGGTTTATTTCAAGACGGACAGATAATCCGTATTTTGCGAGTAGATTGTTCTTTTATATTACCCATAGTTCTTTCTTTCCGAGAAAATGTAGAGTACTTTGGAATCCCTGATGTCAAGTACATCATCACGTCAGTTGGCTCATTGTTAGAACGACGTCACTTAAACTCGTTTGTGACGTCATGAACAAAGGACGGCATTATCTTAATTATTTGCGACAAGGTGTTCATATGACGTCAGTGAGAGAAAGGTCTCATTGCAAACAATGAGACCAACAGAACTATTGGGGCGGACTAGCCACTCAGCATGAAACAAAAGTAATAATGATCAGCGAGAATGACTGGCAATACTTGCACTGATAGCCTTGCCACCGTATCATGTATGTGGAACTAGTTAGATTACCTGTCCAACGTGAATATATTTGGTACGGATTGGCTTGGCCAGCCATGATTCCACGTTGCTAGTAGCTCATTCATCACATTACCCATAGTTTATTTCTGAGAAAATGCAGAAAAATGCGTTTCCTTATCTCTATTGATGGAACAACGTCACATAAATCGTCATGACCAATGCATGGCGTCATCTTCATTTATTTTTGACATGGGACTCTTCACAAACAATGGAAACAATGGGACAATTACTATCATACTACTCAGTGACAGTTGATGAGGCCAATGTGTGTGTGTGTGTGTGTGTGTGTGTGTGTGTGTGTGTGTGTGTGTGTGTGTGTGTGTGTGTGTGTGTGTGTGTGTGTGTGTGTGTGTGTGTGTGTGTGTGTGTGTGTGTGTGTGTGTGTGATAATAAGAAAATAATAACGAGCAATCGTTCTGACCGCCGAACTAGTTAGGCGACCCTTACTAGCACAAGATTTATATATTTGTGGTGCAAGCTACATATCGGAATGGAGGTACTTGTGGACTAAATGTGCCCGTCGCGTGTGTGTGTGTGCCTGCTTGTTCTAGTCCGGACTGATGCCGATTTATAGTGCTAGCTCACTGAGATACCATGCCACAGTTTAACATAAATACCCCACTAAGACACAGTGTACTGACTCCGAGCCGACAGTCCTTGTTTTAGCCCCTTAATGCCGAGCACCAGACAGGGTAACGTCTTTTCGTATATGACGCGGCCGGGAATCGAAACCCGGACCTTCCGCTCTCCGGGCGGACGATTTACCACTACACCACGGAGGCGGTCAGATATCAATGAGAATACCGAGAAGTAATACTAACAGATCATCAGTCAGGTCGACATTGTGGGCTTACATCAACACAGATAACGAGATAAAGGTCAAGTGTCAACCCTCTTAACAGCCGATATCTGAACCCACTGATATCCCACTAGTTAGCTGGAGAGTCCTACTACGTAAGAATTGTACGATGGAAGACAGATTCACTCACTCACTCACCCACGTCAGGGTTTGTTGTTCGACCAGCAGATAAGATTACTTACCTACCTACTATTGGAGATTTAACGAGCAGATAATATTTGAACTAACCCTTTATCTATTTGTGACAACACACGAACTATTTCTCTTTACCGATAGCAGGCCGTGATATATCTGGAGTAATGTTCAAAATCGGCGTGAAGGCCATGCCACCCACCTGCCTTTTCCGATAGCGATTACAGATCCACTTTACTAAAGCCTGTGACTGTAGACTGCTTTCTGCCCTATTGCCCAGTGAAGCTTACACCTATTGTATTGCGCCTCTCCTGTCAACATGGCCGGCAGGGCAAAGTGCGTGCCAGTGTCCTCGGTGATAACTTGAGTAGAACTTTGTATACATTGTATAACACTTCTACCTCTCCCTGCTCACATAGATCCAAAACGTGGCTGTTCAGCAGGAAACCGTGACAGTCACCTTGTGACGATGATTGTATCACACTCTATGACGAGAAGAGTGTGTGAGTTGCACCAGATGTTCGTCACATGGTGCTTCTGTAAGTGCTTCTCCTAGGGGCTGGCCTACCTGCTGCACACCTTTGAGAAGGACATGGCAATGTCCGTCAGCATGGCGGCTGTCACAGCGTTAATGTCAGTACTTCTGTTTGGAGGACTCTGTGATGTGGGAGGAGCCAGACGTCACGGGACAGATACAGAGAGTCGGGGACGCCCAGCTGTACACATACACAAGCATAACGGCGGCATCGGACGCAGGAACTCCACTTACATCAAAGAAGAAGGGAAATATTTCCTGACGCAGATATTTGAGAAGTATGGCCGTGGGGAGAAAGAGATTCTCTTGGCTGACTTTGAATTGTTGTTAGAGCGAATTGGCTTCGAACCTGATAGGACTGATGATGCCCGCGAGATGGAAGACCGTGACATTGGTCCTAGTGCGAGCGCCGAACACGGAGAACACAAGGATCACGAGGAGGATGTGAACACACACGCAGCACGTGACGTGAACAACAGTCAAAGTGAACCTGCGAACACTGACTATAATAATAAGGCAAACACTGACTATAATAATAAGGTGAACACTACCCGCGACCATGAGGAAAACAGTGGCCATGGGGCGAAGCACAACAGAGGTCATGGCGACCATGGAGAGAAAGGACGCCATGAGCCAGAGAGTGACCGTGACCGTGACCATGACCGTGACCGTGACCACACAAGACGCACTGGTCACAGTTCTAATAAAGGCCGGAGTCCACGTGTTCGCAGGGATGTGAACTTTCAAACTGGACATAGGACACCATCCAGTGACCCATCAAGGCTTGGCAGTGGTGACGCCCAGTCTGTTGTCATCCACACCCACGACCTGCACACTGAATGCCTGTCTGTACAAGAACTCATCCAAATCTACCATGCTGACGAAAGAGGTAAGATTGGCAAAAAGGATTTTCTATTCATGGCCCCTGCCATTGTGTACCAGCTTGACAATCCCCACTGCCGCCGTCGACACGATGAGCCCCCCCACCACCACGTTGAGCCGGTGCCAACAGCCTCTGCAGCTGCTCGGGTTTGGGGATACAGCACAGCTGCCATCGTCGTCATCAGTCTCGTCGGCTTGTTGGGTGTGGCTGTCATTCCAATTATGCAGAAATTCTTCTTCAACCAACTGTTGCAGTTCCTCGTGGCCATGGCGGTCGGTGCCCTCACCGGGGACGCCATGCTCCATCTGCTACCCCACGCCATTACCGGCGGGGAGACGGCAGCAGGTGCTGACGAGGATCACGACCACGACCATCTGGACAGTGTGTGGAAGGGACTTTGTGGGCTGCTAGGAATCTACTTCTTCTTCATCGTTCAGCGACTGATGGTCATCCTGACCGGGGCGAGGAACAGGAGGATGGCAAGGAAGAAGGCGAAGGCAAAACGTGCATTCAGTGATGAACCAGATCTGTCTGCAGTTGCTGTGAAAATGTCCTCGTACAACGAGTCTGATTCGGAAGAGGACGGTGACATGGTGACAACTGTAAACAGTGAGGCCCAAACGGAACAAGCAGTGCCACTGAAACAGGAAACAACTCAGAAGGTCAGAGGTCAGTCAGCCACTGGTCACTCCCGCTCTGGACACGGGCACTCCCACCATGACGGCCCTCTGTCCGCTTCTGTCTCCGCTGTGGCGTGGATGGTCATCCTGGGGGACGGCGTCCACAACTTCAGCGACGGCCTTGCTATCGGGGCTGCATTTGCTAACAGCATCTCTGGGGGAATCAGCACCGCCATCGCTGTCTTCTGTCACGAACTTCCTCACGAGATCGGGGACTTCGCCGTGCTTCTGAAAGCTGGCATGTCGATCAAGCAAGCGGTTGTCTACAACTGTCTGTCCTCCGTGCTGTGTTTTGTTGGGATGCTGATTGGTGTCGCGCTGGGAAACATTGAGGAAGCTTCCATGTGGATTTTTGCATGTGTTGGTGGAATGTTTATCTACATCTCTTTGGTAACCATGGTACCGGAACTGACGTCAGTGGATACCGAGAATCCTCTCCGCGACCTGTTCCTGCAATGTATGGGCGTGTGTGTTGGTTCAGGAATCATGTTGACCATAGCTGTCTACGAAAAGGACCTACTGAACATTCTGGACTGAACAAGTAAAGGATTTCAACACCATCCATACTTGATGTGATGTATATATTATTTATACAAAATGCTGAAGGTTAGGTCAGACTCTGTCTCTGTCCCCGACCCCGACCCCGACCCCGACCCCGACCCCGACTCCGACCCCGACCCCGACCCTGACCCTGACCCTGACCCCGACCCCGACCCCGACCCCGACCCCGACCGCGACCCTGACCCCGACCCCGACCCCGACCCCGACCCCGACCCCGACCGCGACCCTGACCCTGACCCTGACCCTGACTAGAACCTACATTAAAGAGTTTGACAATGATTATATTTATGTTTCTTGGTCTTTTTTGTTGACACAATAGGAAACATGATAAGGATGATCTTAAGTTAACATCTGTTTACACATTTCGTGATCATATTCAGTTGTCCTTTTCACATATCTATATCCACATATCTGATGTCCCAAATGTTAAGGCTTGACGAGATAACATAATATTACATGTGAACATCCTATCGTGTTACTTGTGTGTGTTTGCCAGGGTCAAGGCAGGTTAGATAAACACTCGTCGGAGCATTGTTAATTTTCGCTTCATTGTGAACGACCATTCTTCCCTAGAGGTCTGTAAAGGAGCTCTGAAGTGATTTATGAATATGTGGGTTAGAATTGAGTGAGTGAGTTAAAAATTAATGTCACATCGGCAATATGTCGGCCATATCGTGACGAGAACAATTTACACACGAATAATACATACATTCAGACTATATAAAACCTGTCAACAAAGGGCAGACAAACACCTAGAGTATCACAGAGTTATATATTACAACTAGCATATAACCATTCAAAGATACCACTAGACATAACAATACAATATAGAAACGGGCTGTAGATCACCAGCAGCCAAAGTAAGGCCACCTTACTTGGGACCATGGGGACTTATTATATCTCTGCTACCTGCATGGACCCCAGCAGGATTTACACCATCTCATCGTCACTGGTGATAATGGACCAGGTGATTAAACCAAACAAATAGTCTTCGATTAAAACACTGGTAGACACAATACTTCGAATGAGGTGGGCTTACATACCCTCTCAGGGGGACAACAATTTTACGCTACTTCAACCCCCATCAAGGGCATAGCAAAAAACAATCTCAGTTAATAATCAGATTCTACCAATTTATTAAATGCGTAACTTTCTATATCAAAATTTAACAATTAATTCAATTTCTTAAAAAAAAAAGAATTAGAGGAATACTTATCTGATTAAAAAAATCCCTGATGGTATAAACTTTGAAATACATGTATTTGTCCCTTGTATTGTAAAAATTAACACAGTCAAGCAGCACATGCTTGACCTTTATTCTGTCATCAGAGATATAAAATGAAGGATCCTTACCTTTCAATAAATATTCATGAGGGTATCTACTATGACTAAGACGACATCGTCGTAAAATGATCTCTTCAAATCTGAACTTACAACCCAAGTAGGTGTAACCGATATGTGGTTTGATTCGTGTAACGTATATATACCTACTTGGATGTCCCACTTCTTCTGTATGAGGTCTCTGATGTAGCATCTGATCACAGGTTTATATTCGCTGCATAGAATTTGAACCGGTGTCACGGGTTTGATGAGTGCTGCTTTAGCAAAATGGAACAGTTATCTGGTAGTCGTTGTGATATAGTCCTGGATCCAATGACAGTGGCGCTGGCAACAGCGTCACCATCCTTGGAACCATCTGTAAATATAGATTTGTAGGTTTTGTATAAGGATCTTAAATGAGTATATTCTTGTTGATGAATTAACCGATTTGTTTCCGATTTCATCAAGTTAGTGAATACTTCTCCAATTTAGCTAAGATCCATGAAGATCCGGGTTAGAATTGGTCTTCAGCAACCCATCCTTGCTGTAACAAGCGACTACGCTCGTAAGAGGCGACTAACGGGATCGGGTGGCCAGGCTCGCTGACTTGGTTGATGCATGTCATTGTATCCCAATTGCGTGGATCGATGCTCATCATGTCAATCACTGGATTGTCTGGACCAGACTCGATTATTTACAGACCGCCGTCATATAGCTGGAATATTGCTGAGTGCGGCATTAAACAACAAACAAACAAACAAACAATTTAGTTTAAGGTTAGGCCAACCTCTGGTTTTACTACCTGCCATGGCGGAGGAGACAAAAGCTGAGTGGGGGCTATATTTTCAAGATTTATTTTAGCTGCAGAAATATGAGATTGTAACCTTCTTCCAAGAGGAGGACTAAGAGATGATTTTTTTATTGTAGAGTTCTTCATAAAGAGGATGAAAAACACAGTCAAAAGCTGGATTTGGATGAAAAATTTAGACGACGTTGCTTAAAGGATGGCTCATCCGACCCCACTTACAGACTATGAACAGGAGATGTTCTGAAAGCTCCAAGGCAAAGCCTCAGGCCTTGGTGATGAATAGTATCTAGTTTCTGTAGATTACTTTAACAGGCACCACCATAGACGACGGAACCGTCATCAAGTTTGCAAGAGTAAATTCTGATCCTCCCCCCCACACACACTTTGAATTAGAAACTTTCAACAAATCAAGTGCCTTCAGCTATTTAGCTTTAAGGTATTTTATACGTGATAAAAAGACTAATTGGCTTTCGAAAATTAGTCCCAAGAACTTGGCCTCCTTTACTACTTTGATAGGGTTGCCATTCATGAAGGTTCAGGGTCATTATATGGCTTAAAAGGTCTGCAGAAATGTATACAGTTAGTTTTTGATTTGCAAAACGTAAACCCGTTTATCCGTTTTCAAGGGACCTTTTAAGAATTTTAATGAGACACATTGTATGCATATTTTTACCACAAGAAATATTAAAATCATCCACGAAAAGTGATCCATCTACTGAAAGGCTATCATTTTTAATACTAAATAAAGTGACAGACAAAATACTGCCTTGCGGGACACCCCGATCCTGATTATAATGATAGGACAGGATGGAACCCACTGGGACTTGAAATTATTTGTCTGATAAAAACTATGATATAAAGTAAGGTAAACGCCAAAATAATGTACATTTTTAGAATAACGTATTTCCAGGTAATACTGTATGCTTTCTCAAGATCGGACAAAACTGTTTGTTTACAATAGCATTTTGACAAAGCATTCTAGTCGTACTAAATGGAAACCACGTTGAATATTTGTAATTAGATTATTGGTTTCCAAACACCACACTAATCAATTATTTACCATTCTTTTCATGGTTTTACAAACGCAACTCCTTAAAGAAATAGGTCGATAATTAGAGGGATCTGTATGATCCCGGCCAGGCTGGTGTCTATATTTGATCAAATTTATCCAAAAGTATCCCATGATTCGGGTAAATGTTTCAAAAGCTGGTAGTGTATGATATCAGCTCCCGTTGCTGTGTCATGAGCTTGCCCAAGGGCAGTATGTAGCCCATGTAATGAAAATACTTCACCATTATCAGAAGTAAAATTTACTTTTCTTCATTTCTGTTGTTTCTGATATTTTTGTTACCTCCGGGACATAATAAGACGTTGAAGATAGTTTTGCTTACGTTTCTCCTAGATTATTGGCAATATCAGTTTTATCAGTTGATAACGTGTCACCTTCCTTAAGATGATATGGGTGTGCGGAAATTTATTTTGGAGACATAGTTCCTCCAAGATTGTTTAAAAGGACGTCGTGCCTTGGCTTTGTAATTCTAACCTTATCAAAATAATGAACTGTAGGATGTTGGCAGAAATATTTTCCCGCCTTTTCCCTACATTTTCGTGCCTGTTTGCCCTGATTGTTAAACCATGGTTTGTGAATATGTGGATCTGCAGAGGAATTGTTTCATCAGTAATTTCATTCAGGATGTCCGAAAACAACTGTATCAGATCTTGAACATGTCTGAAAATGTCAGGTTTTAATCTACCAGTACATAATAACATATATAATGCTCAATCAGCATTTGTAAAAATCCACCTTGTTGGTTGATGGTCAGTGGAGTTAACAGTTTTAAGAATAGTAGGCAAGTGGTCACTTCCACAGAGGTCAGCGTGGACCATTCAAATCCGTTTTAAAGGTTTGAATCTGTGATTGACAGATCAAGTGCTAAAAACGTTCCAGTGACAGGATGTAAATAAGTGTTTGAGTCGTCTTAAAAAGTGCAGAGATTATTGTCAGAAATAAAGTCTTCAAGGCTTTTCCCTTACTGTTTGTATTTGGACTTCCCCCCGTTGGACTTCGCCCATGATGATACAGGGCTTTGGTAGCTGATCCTAGAGAGTCTGAAGATCAGACTGCCGAAGAGTATTCGAAGGAGGAACATACAAGGAGCACAATGTAAGTGCAATGTGCAGTGTAAGGCGGAGAGCAACTGCTTGGAGATTTTTATTGAGGGGAACAGTGCCATGGATGATGCCTTGTTGATGTGATTAGAGTGAGGCGCTATATCAGTCTGTGATTGTTGATGTGACTAGAGTGAGGCGCTATGTCAGTCTGTGATTGTTGATGTGACTAGAGCGATTGGCTATGTCAGTCTGTGACCATTAGACTCGCCACAGATGACCATTAGACTCGCCACAGATGACCATTAAACTCGCCACAGGTGACCATTAGACTCGCCACAGGTCACCATTAGACTCGCCACAGGTGACCATTAGACTCGCCACAGGTGACCATTAGACTCGCCACAGATGACCATTAGACTCGCCACAGATGACCATTAAACTCGCCACAGGTGACCATTAGACTCGCCACAGATGACCATTAGACTCGCCACAGGTGACCATTAGACTCGCCACAGGTCACCATTAGACTCGCCACAGGTGACCATTAGACTCGCCACAGGTGACCATTAGACTCGCCACAGATGACCATTAGACTCGCCACAGGTCACCATTAGACTCGCCACAGATGACCATTAGACTCGCCACAGGTGATCATTAGACTCGCCACAGGTCACCATTAGACTCGCCACAGGTGACCATTAGACTCGCCACAGGTGATCATTAGACTCGCCACAGGTGACCATTAGACTCGCCACAGGTGACCATTAGACTCGCCACAGGTGACCATTAGACTCGCCACAGATGACCATTAGACTCGCCACAGGTGACCATTAGACTCGCCACAGATGACCATTAGACTCGCCACAGGTGACCATTAGACTCGCCACAGGTGACCATTAGACTCGCCACAGGTGACCATTAGACTCGCCACAGGTGACCATTAGACTCGCCACAGATGACCATTAGACTCGCCACAGGTGACCATTAGACTCGCCACAGATGACCATTAGACTCGCCACAGATGACCATTAGACTCGCCACAGGTGACCATTAGACTCGCCACAGGTGACCATTAGACTCGCCACACGCACGCACGCACGCACGCACGCACGCACGCATACCATTTAGAAAATCCTTAATCCGCCTCTGAATGGGCCTGACTTTGCTGTTGGGTTTATACAGTGGCGAAATAACTTGCAATTCGACAGTCATGTGTTTTTTGCGTGCCCAAGGGACGCAACTCTGCACAGCGTATTGCGGGACCTCTGACGACTTGCCGACCGTGCCAAGTGGCGTAGCTACCATGTAGCACAAAAAACAAACAAGTGCTTACACTTTGAAATCTCCAGAAAAAAATAAAATAAAATAAATAACTTTAAAAAAAAGTGTATTAGTGTGTTCTTTTTTCAGTCGTTGGTTATATTTACCTGATCTTTTGTTAATTTACAGGTTGACCCGCCTACCAGTGTCAACATTGTCGTTGGTGAAGTGGTTCGATGTTGTTGTTTCATTGTTACATTTCGCGAACACCTGGTGTCATCACTGTCCTTCAGTGGTCCACTCATATAATGTTCACATCTATTTTGCCCTTTACGTCAAATGGAATCTGTTTCGGTGGACAATCTAGAGTGGTTATTCTCTTGTATTGACAATTTATATTTTATGAGGATAACTAGGTTTGATCACAATAATCAAACTGTTTGATACTTGAAATGTGTTATATACAGAACGTGGTAAGGATATTTCGTAATACCTCTGCTTTTGTTTGTGTTTGATAAGCATTGTGAGTGTTTCAGAAAAATAAGTACTGCAATATGATTGCTCTTGAAATTATAATGATAAAGGATGCAAGATTTCACTTCACCTTTAATATGACATAAATACCTGTTTACATACAAAACAAAAATATTCAAATATAGGGACCGACCCTTAATATTCGGGGGTAGAGGTGGGACCCTAGAAAAGGTTGTCCTATAATGCCTTGAAAAAATACTGTTGTGCTTCAGAGTTTTGAAAAAAAGAATATTCAGGCTCATCAGCTTTAATTAAAAGATGTCTGCTTGATGTAGCTGAAAAAATATCTCTCACACACACACACACACACACACACACACACACACACACACACACACACACACACACACACACTCATCCCCCCACCACCACCCCAATATCAAGTGGCCGGTCCCTTACCACAATGGAATACCACACCCGAACATTGTGCATCACCCACATGAAATCAGTCAGTATAGGACTGGAGAGTTATGCTGAAAAGATGAACATCGCCTGCTCGACGACGACTTGGGAGAGACTAACCAAACATCGACCAACATGCTTCTGACGTAAAACAATATTCAGTTAAAACACGCGCACATTCATTTTCAATCCGCTACCCAAAATGCGTTGGTGAGGCACAGTTTACTGACTGGAAGCAAATAATAGAACAGACACAGTCCATGAAATGTTCCTCACTCCAGTGAATATATCCAGTCATTAACTATTTGTAAATATCTGAGATACAATAATCTGTCTACTACGCGAGTGAACGAGGGGAAAAATGTGAACTCGTTTGGCTACAAGCTAGTTGTATTGGAAAATTGGTTGCTTCAGTTGTCAGCAATATAATTGGCGAATATTTCGAAACAAACAGTTTGTTTTCAGAACCACGTTAAGGTTTTAGGCGTAGTTTTTTTTCTGCCATAATCTTTAAGAGTTACAAAAAACAAAAATGTTTTGTTTATAGGAAGTTTTCTGTCCAAAATTGTTTTCTTGTTATTTAAATGACTTGGACGAATATTTGTCCAAAATTACAGATGATGGCATCGGATCGACATCGAATACATCTTATTCCGTGGGTTTGAAAACATCCTGAGTGAATGTTACTCACAGGATTAATCCCACATAGTTATCAGCAGTCAGTGTGGTCATACAGAATTCCTCTACAATTTGCAAAATGCCATTATTGGCATCAAGCAATACCCGTCATCGAGGTCATTGGTATTACAAAATGAGCACATTATTTCACTACGTGCTATGCCCGTCTACCAACGTCTGCTGGAATCTATGGATGCAATCTCTTACAATTGTCATAAATAGGTGGCGTGGCCGAGTCAGGGGATGTTCTCAGTACACAACATAGTCCCTGAAGCGCCTGTAAAAGATACCCTTAGAAGTGCCCTCTGCAGGGAACACCCCTGTAAGTGGATCTGAATGTGTTTGCGTACAACTGAATTCATCCAAGATAAACTTGGAAGACATCGTTGATTTCAAACGACCAAGGATATTCAGTCAATTACGAATATTTATATTCAACGTAATGTAACAATATGTTACACATAATTACAGCGGGGCAGTGGGGTAGTCATGTGGTTAAAGTGTTCGCTCGTCACGCCGAACACCTGGGTTCGATTCCCGACATGGTTACAATGTGCCAAGCCCATTTCTGGTGTCCCTCGCCGTGATATTGCTGGAATATTGCTAAAAGCGGCGTAAAACCATACTCACTCACTCACATAATCACAGCTATGTTTCAGATTAATCAGTTACCAGCTTGGACGAGAGCTGCATTATGCTGCATTACATCTGCTGTGTGCTGTCCTGTGTGAGCCAGCGATTGTTAGATTGAGACACGATGCTATGTGTTAGATGGATGGATGGATGGATGGATGGATGGATAGATAGGTAGATGTAATTGGTGTGTGTTCAACCAGAGATGTGCGTTCTCCCCGCCCAAATACATTGCTAGCGTCAGTGTTGGGAACATTATGTGCAATATCGCGCGTCTGTTGCGGGAGTCAATCAACACCGACCAGCCCATGTGGTCAGTGTTTCAGTCGCACCGACAACACGGCTGTGTCTAAATGATACATTTCCACACTGAACGCCTACGGGCCAAAAAGTATTAATGGAGTTTTTAAGTGCCTTTGAAGCAATAGCGTGACTGAGTTAAAATAGTGTATACAGAAGCAAGAAATGGCAGTGACAAATCTGTATACAAGGAATTGAAGCAAGTGTGCAACATTCATAAATCTGTATACAACGTATTGACGTAATTTACATCTGCCTGGAGACGCCAGCCTCTTTCTCGGAAGTTCTTTTTGTGGAAATCAGATCTTATAGTGCGAAACCCTGTTTCCTTTATTGCCATGACAGTTTTATAGAAGCCGACGTACTGGTGTTTGCTGGGATAGGCCGAGAACAAGTGCCACTCAATACCAAACTGCCGGACCGCGGAGAGAAGGTCCGATCTCACCACGTCCTTCAGAGCCGGCCATTCACTGGACTCTACGTCCATCTTCAGGTAATCGATGTGCTTCTGGAAGAAAAACATCCACAGCAATTAGAAGTATGCACCCCAGAGCAACAACACATTATTGGTTCCATCACTTTTGTGGCTTTTTACGCCCAATGGAATATGTATTAGAGACTTATTATTCTCCTGTCTTCACCATCCCACGACGCAGCTTTCTCATCCCATGACACAACAGTTTTCCCATCCCATGACGCAACCTTCCCATCCCATGACGCAGCTGTCCTGACGTGTCCTAACAGAGACATCGTTGTTGTGCTCTCTCCTTATTATCTGAGATATAGAGTTCGGCATACATTCTGAATGGACACGCACTAAGAAAACGCACCTGTTTTAATGTGGTACTTTGCCATGGGGCTATGGACCGTTACACTCTTGTCACATTACAGGGGGCGGCGTGGTAGCCTAGTGGATCACACGTTGTCTCCCACGTCCAGGGCACAAACACCCAGGGAACATGCGTACAGGGAATATACATACAGAGAATAAACACCCAGGGCATAAACGTTCAGGGTGTAAACATACAAGGCATAAACATACAGTAAATAAGTGAGTGAGTGAGTGAGTGAGTATGGTTTTACGCCGCTTTTAGCAATATTCAAGCAATATCACGGCGGGGGACACCAGAAATGGGCTTCACACATACAGTAGATTAACATTCAGGGCAAAAACGTATAGGGAATAAACATTCAGGGCATAAACATACAGCTTAAAAACATGCATGGTATAAACATTCAGGTCATAAACCTTCAGGGCATAGACACCTAGGGAATAAACATTCAGGGCATAAACATACATCGCGCATGACACAAACACACACAGACGGTACACAAACAAACAACGCATAAACACTGGACACAAACACGCGACAAGGACACAGGGCACACTCACTCACTCACTCACTCACTCACTCACTCACTCACTCACTCACTCACTCACTCATCTCAGGAGTTGTTTGGTCAAGGTTATAGCATCCATAGCATCAGTAAACCTTTCCAAAATATTTAGTCAACATTTGGAGGACATTTCCAAATTTGACGCACCAGTGACAAAAATGACGTCTGATGCACATCCCTATACAGCAGCATCTAGCACCACTCATCATCTTATTTTTTATGGATTAGAAGGTTGAAGCTACTGTTCGACAGTTTTCAATTTAAGCTACATTTGAATATATTTATATTTCCCAAAGACCGCCTCCGTGGTCTAGTGGTAGAGCGTCCGCCCGGAGAGCGTAAGGTCAGTGGTTCGATCCCCGGCCGCGTCATACCAAAAGACGTTAAAAGATGGTACCTGTTGTTACCCTGTCTGGCGCTCGGCATTAAGTGGCTAAAACAAGGACTGGTCGGCTCGGAGTCAGTGTACTGTGTCTTAGTAGGGTATTTATGTTAAACTGCGGCATGGTATCTCAGTGAGCTAGCACTATAAATCGGCATCAGTCCGGACTAGAACAAGCAGGCACACACACGTACACGCACGTCGCTATATAAGTGCAATAATCTTGGACGCGACGTTAAACCCCATTTCACCTCACCTCATATTTCCCAAGACTGATATCTTACATCTGATATACATATGGAGGCACGGGTGGCCCAGTCGTCTAAGGCACCGCAATTCGCTGTGCAAGGTTGTGTCCCTTGGGCACGCCAGAAACCTATGATTGTGGGTTTGAATCCCGGTTTTCCCGGATTATGTTTCTAGGTTTGTCAGCACCATAACCGTGCTCGTGGGTTTCACCGAGGTGATAAACATCTGAGACCTGCATCACTTCGGGCTTTCCTCCCACATTAAGCTGACACGCCGCGATAAACTGGTATAATGTAAAAAGCGGCGTTAAACACAATCCACTCACGCACACTGATGTACATGTAAGGTGGATATTAGACATTAGATTTGGCTACATGGCAATAGACACGCATTGTAGCAGTTGTTATAGTATATATAGTCTGTAAGTTGCTTCAGTTTCTGTAAGTAAGTACCATATCTGTTTCTGTTGCAATATATTTTTCGACTTTGTATACAGATGATAGATAGCCAATGAAAGGTTCAACATATGTTTTTTATACTTTTAATACTTGATATGTGAATAAGTTTTTTAGCAAGCTGTAATATGTTAGTACGTAATTTCATATTTTTTTAAAAACAAACAGAATGAAAAAAACTGTAATCTGAAACATCTTGAAGGGACTGATTTAATTGTTCCAGATCTCTCCAGAAACCATTTATAACATCACATTCAAAATAAACATGGAATATACTTTCACTTGAGTATTTAAAAAAAGAGCAAATATCATCATCAATAAGTTTCATTTTACACAATTGCTTCTTTGTATAGATAATCTTATGTATAAATTTATACTGAAATTCTATAAATTTATTGTCTCTTGTGCGTTTTCTGAAATATATCCAGACCAAACTGTCTGTTAACTGCCATTTAAAGCATACATGGAGTACATTACCAGTTATAATTAAGATATCATTAAATTATCTTCCTCCTTTATTTTGATTCGATGTTAATAGAAGAGTCAGACATCAGCGTAGACCACCTACTTTGTTGAGGGTCAAATTGTGGGCGTGTTTCCACCTTGTCCTCCATGATGGAAGAATGTTCATCAACAATTTGTTTAACTCTAAAAACGTACCTTCAATGGCATAGTTGTCATTAAACTGCAGGAAATTCATAAAACCATTTTCGTTGCATGTGTTTAAATTGATTTATCTTCTTATTTACCCAACTTTGTATGACAAACTCGGAATCTTTAAAGCCACAGAGGTTCCATAATTATTTTATCCAAATCAAACACATCAGATATTTCATGCTTACTGTTGACCTCTCCATTATGGGTTAACGACATGATAATGCATATTAATTCCGACATAGCACGTGTACCACTCGTGACACTTAAATAAACTAACGGGCGGTGGCTGTCGGGTTTTAGTTGCTAACCAAGCGTGTTTGTTGTCCACGGATGGTATTTGAAATCCACTGTCTTGACCCGGAAACAGAATTTCTGGATAAAAGAACCATTGTATGCTGTGTTTATTTCATTTCACATTTCAACTAGTGTCCGATAGGCGAGGTTTCCAGTTTCCTTCGGTCCGGATACGCGGAGTTCCACTGTACAGTTACAGTATACAATGACGTTTAATATTTAGATCTGTCTCCTGTTCTGTATTCTAGATCTTTGGAACACAAGTAATGACGCCTTTATTGATCGAAGTAGTAAGCGAATTCTTCACATATATAAGTGTCTTTAATACATCTGAAAATCTTTCTTTCTAAACATACTTGAAAACTTCTACAGGGAAGCCATCTATAGCGTGCTCTTATTGTACTTCATGGTAAATTTATCATTTCAATTTCATCCATAATAATTGGTTCGTCTAATATGTGAGCAGTTGCCCCATCTAAAATAGGAGTATCTATGTTATCGAGAATATCTCAACCCATTCCATTATAGTCTTTGTTGGTCGAATATAAGGAAGCATAAAATTTTCTTTGTCCAAGATCAACTGACCTTCTATTAAAATAATGATATTGTCCATGTTTATTCGTAAAGTTCCGATTTTCCAAATGACAAAAATATTGTCTTGCCCTTTCTCCTTCATCGCACCATTTTATTCGATTTCTAACAAATATTCCTTTAATTTCTTCTTCTTTAAGAAATGAAAATTCAATTTTGTTTCGAGAGTTTTCTCAACAATTAATGTTTTGAAAATTATCTCTAATCGTATCCTCGAGGTCATTTATGATACGTTTCAAAGAGTCAACCTTTTTCAATTATGATATAAGTTGCCAAGGAAAAATGTTTTTCTCCTAATTTTCATCAAAAGTGTTTCAGGAAATAGTGTATGACTCGCGGTTAGATCAGTATTTAAACTCTCTATCTTGTTAATATCATTTTCACTGTATTTTGAAACAGCCTATATTCTTAAAGTCTCCTTTAATGTTGAAATAACCATGTTTGCATACTCGGTAAATGTAAACTTCGCGCGATGCAGAGACAAAACATGGTTCAATGTGAATGTGCTGACCTCATTGATATGCGACATCGCCCATTATGTGCCTCGCCCCTGGAATCTTCTTTCATACAGAGCCATATCTTTCTTTTCGTTCCGTGATTTGTTTACATAACCTGAAAATACCCTACCGGCTAGCACACAGCCGGCCACAGCATACGCGAGCAGAACACACCCACCCAGAATACACCCGACCAGAACACACCCAGCCAGAACACAACCGGCCAGAACACACTCGGTCAGAGCACACACGTGCACAGTCAGAACACACTCGGTCAGAGCACACACGTGCACAGTCAGAACACACACGGTCAGAACACACCTACCCAGAACACATCCGGCCAGAACACACCCGGCCAGAACACACCCAGCCAGAACACATCCGGCCAGAACACATCCGGCCAGGACACACCTGACCAGAACACACTAAGCCAGAACACACTCGGTCAGAGCACACACGTGCACAGTCAGAACGCACACGGTCAGAACACACCTACCCAGAACACATCCGGCCAGAACACACCTACCCAGAACACACCTGGCCAGAACACACTCGGTCAGAGCACACACGTGCACAGTCAAAACACACACGGTCAGAACACACCTACCCAGAACACATCCGGCCAGAACACACCCGGCCAGAACACACTAAGCCAGAACATATCCGGTCAGGACACACCTACCCAGAACACACCTGGCCAGAACACACCCGGCCAGAACATACCCGGTCAGAGCACACACGTGAACAGTCAGAACACACACGGTCAGAACATACCCGGTCAGAACACACTTACCTGGCCAGAACACAACCGGCCAGAACACACTCGGTCAGAACATACCCGGTCAGAGCACACACGTGAACAGTCAGAACACACACGGTCAGAACATACACGGTCAGAACACACCTACCCAGAACACACCCAGCCAGAACACATCAATCATACCCGGCCAGAACACACTCGGTCAGAACACACCTGACCAGAACACACCCGAACAGAACACACCCCACCAGAACACATCTACCCAGGACACACCCGGACAAAACATACCCGAAAAGAACACACCCCAACAGAACACACACGGCCAGAACACACCTATTCAGAACACACCTACTCAGAACACACCCGGCCAGAACACACCTATTCAGAACACACCCCGTCAGAACACACTCAGCCAGAACACCCCTGGCCAGAACACAACCGGCCAGAACACCCTCTGCCAGAACACACCAGGTCAGAACACATCTGGCCAGAAGTCACCCGGTGAGAACACGACCGGTCAGAACACACTTACCTGGCCAGAACACAACCGGCCAGAACACACTCGGTCAGAACATACCCGGTCAGAGCACACACGTGAACAGTCAGAACACACACGGTCAGAACATACACGGTCAGAACACACCTACCCAGAACACACCCAGCCAGAACACATCAATCATACCCGGCCAGAACACACTCGGTCAGAACACACCTGACCAGAACACACCCGAACAGAACACACCCCACCAGAACACATCTACCCAGGACACACCCGGACAAAACATACCCGAAAAGAACACACCCCAACAGAACACACACGGCCAGAACACACCTATTCAGAACACACCTACTCAGAACACACCCGGCCAGAACACACCTATTCAGAACACACCCCGTCAGAACACACTCAGCCAGAACACCCCTGGCCAGAACACAACCGGCCAGAACACCCTCTGCCAGAACACACCAGGTCAGAACACATCTGGCCAGAAGTCACCCGGTGAGAACACAACCGGTCAGAACACACCCGGCCAGAACACATCTGGCCAGAACATACCAAGCTAGAACACACTCCGCCAGAACAAAATCGGCCAGAACATACCCGGCCAGAACACACCTGACCAAAACACATCTACCCAGGACACACCTGAACAGAACACACCCCACCAGAACACATCTACCCAGGACACACCCGGACAAAACACACCCGAAAAGAACACACCCCAACAGAACACACCCGATCAGAACACACCCCAACAGAACACACCAGACCAGAACACAACCGGACTGAACATACCCCAACAGAACATACCGGGCCAGGACACACCCGAACAGAACACACACGGCCAAAACGTACCCGGCCAGAACACACCAATCAGAACATACCCCAACAGAACACACTCTGCCAGAACACACCAATCAGACCATACCTGGACAGAATATACCCTGCCAGAACATAACCCATCAGAACACATCCGACCAGGAAATACCCCAACAGAACACATCCCAACAGAACACACAGGGCCAGAACACACCCGGTCAGAACACACCTACTTAGAACACACCCGGCCAGAACACACCCGGTTAGAACATACCTGGCCAGAACATACCCGGTCAGAACATACCTGGCCAGAACATACCCGTCCAGAGCATGCTTGGTCAGAACACCCCCGGCCAGAACATACCCGGCCAGAACACATCCGGTCAGAACACACCTACCCAGAACACACCCGGCCAGAACACACCGGAACAGAGCACACCTGGCCAGAACACACCCGGCCAGAACACACCCGGCCAGAACACACCCGGCCAGAACACACCCGGCCAGGACACAACCGGGCGAAACACACACGAACAGATCACAGACGGGCAGAACACACCTGCACCTTAAAAAAGTGAGACGGGTACAACCCAAGTGAACTCACATCGGCGTGTCCCAGCATCGCCTTGATAGTACCGAGACGTCGGACCTTCCATGTCGTTGTCTTGTTAACGTAGATGTTTTTAGTGGGGACAAACATGTCGTCATCCGTCCCGGAGAGGCCAATATCGTGGAAGTGGACGTTGTCGCTCCTGTTGTGGGACTTCTTTCCAATACTGAAACAACATGTTGTTTATTGTTGTTTATTGAATATAATGACAACGATCAAACCTTGCAAACCCAAACCCCGTAACCGGGTTAGAATTGGTACCCAGCAACCCATGCTAGTCTCCCTGTGAAGATACCGGGTTAGAATTGGTACCCAGCAACCCATGCTAGTCTCCCCGTACAGATACCGGGTTAGAATTGGTACCCAGCAACCCATGCTAGTCTCCCCGTACAGATACCGGGTTAGAATTGGTACCCAACAACCCATGCTAGTCTCCCCGTTAGGATACCGGGTTAGAATTGGTACCCAGCAACCCATGCTAGTCTCCCCGGGAAGATACCGGGTTAGAATTGGTACCCAGCAACCCATGCTAGTCTCCCCGGGAAGATACCGGGTTAGAATTGGTACCCAGCAACCCATGCTGGTCTCTCCGTGCAGATACCGGGTAAGAATGGGTACCCAGCAACCCATGTTAGTCTCCCCGTACAGATACCGGGTAAGAATTGGTACCCAGCAACCCATGCAAGTCTCTCCGTGAAGATACCGGGTTAGAATTGGTACCCAGCAACCCATGCTAGTCTCAACGTGGAGATACCGGGTTAGAATTGGTACCCAGCAACCCATGCTAGTCTCCCCGTACATATACCGGGTTAGAATTGGTACCCAGCAACCCATGCTGGTCTCTCCGTGAAGATACCGGGTTAGAATTGGTACCCAGCAAACCACGCTAGTCTCTCCGTGGAGATACCGGGTTAGAATTGGTACCCAGCAACCCATGATAGTCTCCCTGTGAAGATACCGGGTTAGAATTGGTACCCAGCAACCCATGCTAGTCTCCCTGTGAAGATACCGGGTTAGAATTGGTACCCAGCAACCCATGCTAGTCTCCCTGTGGAGACACCGGGTTAGAATTGGTACCCAGCAACCCATGCTAGTCTCTCCGTTGAGATACCGGGTTAGAATTGGTACCCAGCAACCCATGCTAGTCTCCCTGTGAAGATACCGGGTTAGAATTGGTACCCAGCAACCCATTCCTGTCTCCCCGCGGAGATACCGGATTAGAATTGGTACCCAGCAACCCATCCCTGTCTCCCCCTAGAGATACCGGGTTAGAATTTGTACCCAGCAACCCATGCTAGTTCCCAAGCATTAAATATCATCGTTATATGTCTCAGGTAATCAGTCCTACCTTGGATCAAAAGAGTGAACTTCACAGCCAAGTCTCCCCATCGCGTCATCAAACGAAAAGTCGTTCCAGATACTGTAAAGGTTTCAAAACACAACATGAAACATTTTATTTATATGGTCAGAGGGAAGTTGTTCCTTAACAAAATATGTTTACATTGAATATATGTATCCCACCTGGATGTTAAGGGTTGCCTTGCATTGACAATTTACTTGAACTGGGTCGATATTTCTACTGGTGGACTGAAGTCGCTGTGTTTTATCATAAGCATTTATCTATGTTGAGTCTATCACGAAAGAAATGTTTGGGTCGATACATTAAAACTGCCCTCCACTGTGTTGCAAAACGAATTTCTATACTTATAAGCAGCAGAATCTCTGCCCTTGTACGCAGGAGACGTAATTTCAAGTTTACCTATCGTTTTATTTGTTTCAACAAAGCAGTAAATGCTCTATCGTGGTACAGCTTGTGTATACCAAACACCAGACGTTAGAGGTGGGAGAGAGTTGAGACGGGTCCAGGACGGACGTCTCACACTTACTAGGTCCTTGTATTGACCCTGTCGGTCTGTGACCTTCCTACCAGTGGAATCTTGTGATGTATTCGGCCATGTCGGTCTGTGACATTCCTACCAGTGGAATCTTGTGATGTATTCGGCCATGTCGGTCTTTGACATTCCTACCAGTGGAATCTTGTGATGTATTCGGCCATGTCGGTCTGTGACATTCCTACCAGTGGAATCTTGTGATGTATTCGGCCATGTCGGTCTGTGACATTCCTACCAGTGGAATCTTGTGATGTATTCGGCCATGTCGGTCTGTGACATTCCTACCAGTGGAATCTTGTGATGTATTCGGCCATGTCGGTCTGTGACCTTCCTACCAGTGGAATCGTTTGATGTATTCAACCATGTCGGGCTGTGACATTCCTACCAGTGGAATCTTGTGATGTATTCGGCCATGTCGGTCTGTGACATTCGTACCAGTGGAATCTTGTGATGTATTCAGCCATGTCGGTCTGTGACATTCCTACCAGTGGAATCTTGTGATGTATTCGGCCATGTCGGTCTCTGACATTCCTACCAGTGGAATCGTTTGATGTATTCGGCCATGTCGGTCTGTGACATTCCTACCAGTGGAATCTTGTGATGTATTCGGCCATGTCGGTCTGTGACATTCCTACCAGTGGAATCTTGTGATGTATTCGGCCATGTCGGTCTGTGACATTCGTACCAGTGGAATCTTGTGATGTATTCAGCCATGTCGGTCTGTGACATTCCTACCAGTGGAATCTTGTGATGTATTCGGCCATGTCGGTCTCTGACATTCCTACCAGTGGAATCGTTTGATGTATTCGGCCATGTCGGTCTGTGACATTCCTACCAGTGGAATCTTGTGATGTATTCGGCCATGTCGGTCTGTGACATTCCTACCAGTGGAATCTTGTGATGTATTCGGCCATGTCGGTCTTTGACATTCCTACCAGTGGAATCTTGTGATGTAATCGGCCATGTCGGTCTGTGACATTCCTACCAGTGGAATCTTGTGATGTATTCGGCCATGTCGGTCTGTGACATTCCTACCAGTGGAATCTTGTGATGTATTCGGCCATGTCGGTCTGTGACATTCCTACCAGTGGAATCGTTTGATGTATTCGGCCATGTCGGTCTGTGACATTCCTACCAGTGGAATCTTGTGATGTATTCGGCCATGTCGGTCTGTGACCTTCCTACCAGTGGAATCTTGTGATGTATTCAACCATGTCGGTCTTTGACCTTCCTACCAGTGGAATCGTTAGATGTATTCGGCCATGTCGGTCTGTGACATTCCTACCAGTGGAATCTTGTGATGTATTCGGCCATGTCGGTCTGTGACCTTCCTACCAGTGGATTCTTGTGATGTATTCGGCCATGTCGGTCTGTGACATTCCTACCAGTGGAATCTTGTGATGTATTCGGCCATGTCGGTCTGTGACATTCCTACCAGTGGAATCTTGTGATGTATTCGGCCATGTCGGTCTCTGACATTCCTACCAGTGGAATCTTGTGATGTATTCGGCCATGTCGGTCTGTGACCTTCCTACCAGTTGAATCGTTTGATGTATTCGGCCATGTCGGTCTGTGACCTTCCTACCAGTGGAATCTTGTGATGTATTCGGCCATGTCGGTCTGTGACCTTCCTACCAGTGGAATCTTGTGATGGATTCAACCATGTCGGTCTGTGACATTCCTACCAGTGGAATCTTGTGATGTATTCGGCCATGTCGGTCTGTGACCTTCCTAAGAGTGGAATCGTTTGATGTATTCGGCCATGTCGGTCTGTGACATTCCTACCAGTGGAATCTTGTGATGTTTTCGGCCATGTCGGTCCGTGACATTCCTACCAGTGGAATCTTGTGATGTATTCGGCCAAGTCGGTCTGTGACCTTCCTACCAGTGGAATCTTGTGATGTATTCGGCCATGTCGGTCTGTGACCTTCCTACCAGTGGAATCGTTTGATGTATTCGGCCATGTCGGTCTGTGACATTCCTACCAGTGGAATCTTGTGATGTATTCGGCCATGTCGGTCTCTGACATTCCTACCAGTGGAATCGTTTGATGTATTCGGCCATGTCGGTCTGTGACATTCCTACCAGTGGAATCTTGTGACGTATTCGGCCATGTCGGTCTCTGACATTCCTACCAGTGGAATCTTGTGATGTATTCGGCCATGTCGGTCTGTGACATTCCTACCAGTGGAATCGTTTGATGGATTCGGCCATGTCGGTCTGTGACATTCCTACCAGTGGAATCTTGTGATGTATTCGGCCATGTCGGTCTTTGACATTCCTACCAGTGGAATCTTGTGATGTATTCGGCCATGTCGGTCTTTGACATTCCTACCAGTGGAATCTTGTGATGTCGGTTATTTGTGAGAGACAGGAAAATGGAACTGTGATTTGAGTTAGACTGAAACAATGTGTCATTGGCCAATGGAACTGGATTTGAGTTAGACTGAAACAATGTGTCGTTGGCTAATGGAACTGTGATTTGATTTAGACTGAAACAATGTGTCGTTGGCTAATGGAACTGGATTTGAGTTAGACTGAAACAATGTGTCGTTGGCTAATGGAACTGTGATTTGAGTTAGACTGAAACAATGTGTCGTTGGCTAATGGAACTGGATTTGAGTTAGACTGAAACAATGTGTCGTTGGCTAATGGAACTGTGATTTGAGTTAGACTGAAACAATGTGTCGTTGGCTAATGGAACTGTGATTTGAGTTAGACTGAAACAGTGTGTCGTTGGCTAATGGAACTGTGATTTGAGTTAGACTGAAACAATGTGTCGTTGGCTAATGGAACTGTGATTTGAGTTAGACTGAAACAATGTGTCGTTGGCTAATGGAACTGTGATTTTAGTTAGACTGAAACAATGTGTCGTTGGCTAATGGAACTGTGATTTGATTTAGACTGAAACAATGTGTCGTTGGCTAATGGAACTGTGATTTGAGTTAGACTGAAACAATGTGCCGTTGGCTAATGGAACTGTGATTTGAGTTAGACTGAAACAATGTGTCGTTGGCTAATGGAACTGTGATCGGAATGTTTGTAACCGGAATCCAGACTATGTCCGATTGGTGGAGTTTCTGTATCGAATAGTTGTAGGTTTTGGTAATAATTAAATATTCCTAATGGTGAATGAGTTGGGTCCTTCCTTTTGTTGTTTGAGACACTGTGACGCCCGTAACAGTATAGAAGGAAAGTCAGTGAAAAATGAATGTATAGAGCTTATATTGAGGCTTAAAACATTAAAGAATTGGTTCTCAGGCAATGGGTTTTGAAAATATAGTGTGGGCCGGCGGTGGATGTTTTATTGATGTTCAAGCTAGAATGTAACCAAATTTGGTTTACAATAATTTCGGCGAAATCACGTTGTTCTTAAGTATTGTAGCATTTCACTGCCGTGGTCATGTATTCGGGACGCGGAATATGTGAAGATTTTTATTTTTTTTATAAATGGAAATAAAAACGAAAGGACTTTTTTTTCACACACGCACGCACGCACACACACACACACATACACACGGGCAAACGCATACATACACATACACACATGTACACACAAAAACACATACATACACACACAATTACACACGCAAACGCACACACACAGTCACGCGCACACGAACACATTTACACAAAACACATATACACGCACACACAAACAAACACACATACACTCAATAACGCACATATACACGCATACGCATACACATACACACGCACACATACACAAACACACGCACACACATGCACACATTACGTCCACGGAATATTTGTAAGGATATGCTGTTTCTCACCCAAATGAATACACGAGACAAGGTGGCTTGATATTAAATAGTTTGTCCATGCAGACGTGCCAGTTGCCTTTTTTCACCATCTCCCCACACAGATACTCCGGTGGCTTCTCCCAGTCCCTGCAACAACAACAACAACATCAGCAACAACAACAACAACAACATCAACAACACGGGTGAGCAACACACAGGTAGCCTGTCACTCACATACAAGGGAGCGCCTGTCACTTACATACAAGGGAGCGCCTGTCACTCACATACAAGGGAGCGCCTGTCACTTACATACAAGGGAGCGCCTGTCACTTACATACAAGGGAGCGCCTGTCACTCACATACAAGGGAGCGCCTGTCACTTACATACAAGGGAGCGCCTGTCACTTACATACAAGGGAGCGCCTGTCACTTACATACAAGGGGGCGCCTGTCACTTACATACAAGGGAGCGCCTGTCACTCACATACAAGGGAGCGCCTGTCACTCATATACAAGGGAGCGCCTGTCACTCACATACAAGGGAGCGCCTGTCACTCACATACAAGGGAGCGCCTGTCACTCACATACAAGGGAGCGCCTGTCACTCACATACAAGGGAGCGCCTGTCACTCACATACAAGGGAGCGCCTGTCACTTACATACAAGGGAGCGCCTGTCACTTACATACAAGGGAGCGCCTGTCACTTACATACAAGGGAGCGCCTGTCACTCGCATACAAGGGAGCGCCTGTCACTCACATACAAGGGAGCGCCTGTCACTCGCATACAAGGGAGCGCCTGTCACTCACATACAAGGGAGCGCCTGTCACTTACATACAAGGGAGCGCCTGTCACTCACATACAAGGGAGCGCCTGTCACTCGCATACAAGGGAGCGCCTGTCACTTACATACAAGGGAGCGCCTGTCACTTACATACAAGGGAGCGCCTGTCACTCACATACAAGGGAGCGCCTGTCACTTACATACAAGGGAGCGCCTGTCACTCACATACAAGGGAGCGCCTGTCACTCGCATACAAGGGAGCGCCTGTCACTCGCATACAAGGGAGCGCCTGTCACTCGCGTACTCGGGTTGTAGTCAGGGAGTCATTATTTGAATATGGGTAAATATTTTTAATGAGTGTATATTTTAATAACATGCTTAGGGAGGTTCTGCATCATGGTGATATCTCATATACGAAATAAACGAGTTTATTCTCCTTGCAGTGTTTTATTGTACGACAAACAACGTTCACTCGATGGCTTTTCTCACATAGATGGCCTGTGGTTATATTTGAGGAGATTTGATATTGTTTGGCCCCACAAGAGTTCACGTGTTAATTATGATCTAATTAAGATTAAAAGGATCATCCGACATCCAATATATTACATTCTGACGCTATATATAAAGTTTGACACACATTACGTCATACGCTTATAAAATATAAGTGAAGATAAAAAGAATCAGATTTAGTAGTCAGTAGTGTTTGTTTGTTTGTTTGTTTGCCACCTAATGTCTCACTCTGCACCTATGACTTCAAGAGGGACGAGGCTTGCCACTATTACGCAGCACTGTTGTCTCATTCTATGCATACCGACAGCCTCCGTGGCCTTGTGGTGGAGCGTCCGCCCAGAGAGCCGAAGGTCCGGGGTTCGATACCCGTCCGCGTCATACACGTTAGACGTTAAAAGACGTTAAAAGATGGTACTTACCAGTGAAGATCCGTGGTAGAAAAGGTCTTCAGCAACATATGCTTGTCGTAAAAGGCGACTAACGGGACCAGGTGTTCAGGCTCGCTGACTTGGTTGATGCATGTCATCGTATCCCAATTGCGTGGAACGATGCTCATGTTTTCAATTACTTGATTGTCTGGCCTAGACTCAATTATTTACAGACCGCCGCCATACAGCTGGAATATTGCTGAGTGCGGCGTTAAACAACAAACAAACAAACTAAAAGATGGTACTTAGTATTACCCTGCCTGGCGCCCCGAAATAAGGGGCTAAAACAAAGACTGGTCGGTTCGAGTCAGTATACTGTGTGGGGTATGTTAAACTGCGGCATGGTATCTCAGTGGGCTAGCACTACAAACTCGGCATTAGTCCGGACTAGTACAAGCAGCCACACACAAACACACACACACGTGCATACACATCGCTATATAAGGGCAATAAGCGCAACGTTAAACCCCATTTCGCCTGACCTCTATACCTACCACTTCAAGAGGGACGAGGCTTGCCACCACTCCGTTATCCTTAAGGGATCCTTCCCAGTTTTTCTGTTCTGTTGTCGGTTTTGCAGCTGATTTTCCACTGGAAAACAAGTCATCCGTTCAATAATCACTGATGACTAACTGATATATTGTAATGAAAATTAATGAGTGGTGGGTTCTACCGGTAGAGCAGGACATGCTTACCCGCGAACACCTGGTGTCATCACTGATTTCACAGGCCCATTCATATACTTTTCTTTCAGGTCCTGTGGAATGTTTCAACAGAAAAGTATTATTCTCTGTCGTTGGTGTTTTAAATATCCGTGTTAAAAGGATGACCCTCAGGATTTAGCACCGTAACTTCTCCTGGGGACAAGTGACCAAATATAGAGAGACTTGAACACACCACCTTCGGATTGTTAGGCCGACAAGCTAACCGACTGAGCTGCATCCACACTGTTAAATTGAGTTCAAAATTACTTTCATTTACCCATGTCTTAACGGCTACGGAAATGAACGGACACTTACGGAAGTTACGGGTAACCATGGCGTCTCGTGACTTCAGTTTACGGACACTGATCAGGATGCCCTTTTGGCACAGCCGACCGTTATCAACAGGATCCTGAGTGGAAAGGAATGAGCTGATATGGCCGAAAGGAATACGACTCAGGACTGACAGGGTATTAAATAAATGGCTGGGTGGTTTTGTGACAGAAACGTGTGGGAGGGAAGACTTTGTGGGTAATGTGGATCTTAGTTAGGAAAAAGGATGGCACGGCATTGCTGCTGATACCATGAGGGGGAGTCGGCACATATCTTCTGGTTTGGCTCCATCAAACGTCCATCTGTTCCCACACAGACCCGAATGGTGTGTGTGTCACGTGAACATCCGGGGTTGAATAGGTCTTTAGCAACCCACGCTTGCCGGAAAAGGTGACTGCTTGTGACTAACGGGATCGGGTGGTCAGGCTCGCTGGCTTGGTTGATGCATGTTTTCGTATCCCATGTAGATCGATGCTCATGATGTCAATCACTAGATTGCCTTGTCCAGACACGATTATTAACAGACGGCGGTCATATAGCTAGAATTTTACTGAATGTGGCGTTAACCAACAAACAAACACGAAGACAATCCAAGCCGGAACCCATTTCGACTCGAACGATGAGGTCATAGCTGCTGCTGAGAAGTTTGTGGATAACATCGTGGGCAAAAGTGTATCAGTGGATTATGTGAGGCTTAGAACCTATCTATCAACACTTCGTATCTCTCTGATACGAGCCACCAACACTCCTAGTCTGTTATACAGACCCTGAAACAATTATATCCAATACAGCCCATGTAAGTCGATAATGTTTGCCAAGTCTAGTTTACTGCAGTATCAGGAAGTATCTGAAAAAGAAGAAAGTCTCTGGGCTTCTTTTTATTATCACTATAATTTAACTGTTTTTTTCTGTTAAATATGTTCATTTCAGACACTAGATGTCAGTCTACACCACCCCCTCCTCCCATAACCCGTCAGCCCTCTATTCGCCAGGAACGATCACGAATGGTTTAATCGTAGACCCGCGCGAATGCATTGTACCTCCACACGTGGCGAGGTGCCGGTGCCCCTTCTGTCACAGTGATGAATACAGTTTGTGTTCACTCCCTCTGACATCGACGCCCTGATCTTGCATGGGGTAATGTATCCGTAAGTTTGTTGAAGAATGAACGAATGCTCCTTGTGATAAAGCATGTTCTAAATAACCAGCGAACCTAAACGGGTCAAGCATTTCATCACAGTCGAGTTTCGTTGTCCATCCAGTCTCCAGTCACGCTCTGACCCACGTAAGCAAAACGTGGATCCACAAGAGCTCGTGTCTCTGCACAAGACCAAATAGCGTCCATTCCAATTTGGAATGAACGTTGGAATGCTTTGGAAAGATCGCTCATTCCAAACTTTCCAAAGTTTTATCAGTAATTTGAACAATAAAAAGACTATGAATTAGGGGCTTTAGGGGTTGCTTATATAGTAATTTTGAAATTTTGAGATTTGGAAAGAATGCCAAGAGTGGGTGGGGGACGAACTAAGGGAGCTGTGTGTGTTGGGTGGTTGTTAGATAAGGTAGTTTTGGTTTTATTATTTTATTTGGGGTTTAAATGCGACTAATTAGTCCTGTTTTAATTAGGTATAAACCTAAGGCTTTGAATTTTTCTAATTTATTTTATGGATTTAGGATTGATTCTAGTGTAAGTCCGGTTTTAAGATTTAGGGTGGTCTGTAGTGTTGTTTGGTGTGTTTGGTAGTGTGTGCAGTGAATGAGTACGTGTTCTGGTGTTTCTTGTTGATTGGAATGTGGGCAGTTTCCTGTTGTGTGTAGATTAGCTATTTTACGATGATTATTTAGTTTGGTGCGGCCTGTTTGTAGTTTAGTAATTATTCTGTCGATTATTTTGGATGGGTGTAGTATTTTTGGTTTATTTAGGTTTTTTTTGAGTACTTTCCTGATTTGGCTATTTAAGTTTTGGTATATATTTTGCCATTTTTTTGTTGATTTTTTGTTTAGTGAGACTTTTGATTTCTGATTTTGAGCTGGGTAAGTTTAAGCTTATTTCTGGGAGTTAAAGGGATAATTTTGCTGCTTTATCTGCCTTTTCATTTCCAAAGATTCCTACGTGGGCGGGGGTCCAAATGAACTCTATTTGTTTACCTGCCCTAGTTAAGTTGTTTGAGCTATTAAGTATTTGATTTATTAGTTTGGGGTGGTTTTTAGTGTTTTTATTTTTGAGGGCTTGTAGTCCACTGAGGGAGTCGGTTAGGATGAGGATTTTGTTTTTGTTTTTTAGATTGCTGATTGTGTAGTGCTGAGACAACTACTGACTGATATAGAAGATTTAACGTGCGCTTTCCGACTGCAGCGTATTTCGCACACGGGCCTGGCCGGACCATTTAGTGTATTCCGAAAAGGGTGAAAGTGGTGTGTGCAACCCAAAAGGGGGCTTTTAGGGGTTGCTTATATTGAATTTTTGAGATTTTTAAATTTGGAATAAATGCCGAGGTGGGTGGAGGAGGGAACTAAGGGAGCCGGTTGAGGTGGGTGTTTGTATTTTTATTGGATTTTGGATTGGTAGATTAATTAGTTTTTAGATGCGCTTAATTAGGTCTGTTTTGTTTAGAAATACGCCTAGGGCCTTGAAGTTTTCTTGTTTATTTTGAGGGTTTAGTGGTTCATCTAGAGTAGGAACCTTATTTAGATTGAGGGTGGTTTGTAGAGTGGTTCTGTGTGTTTGGTAGTGGGTGCAGTGGATGAGTGCGTGTTCTGTGGTTTCGGGTTGTTTGCAGTGGGGGCAGTTGCCTGTGGTGTGTCTTTTAAGTTTTTTTAGGTGGTTATTTAGGTTCGTGTGTCCTGTTTGGAGTTTTGTAATTAATCTGTCAATTTTTTTAGAGGGGTGTAGGATTTTAGGTTTGGCTAGTGGTTTTCTGAGCACTTTTTTGATTTGGCTATTTGAGTTTTGATATTGATTATGCCATTTTTTGGTTATTTTTTGTTTGTTTACACTTTTAATTTCTGATTTTGAGATGGGTAGGTTTAGGCTTATTTCTGGTATTTTAAGAGATAATTTAGCTGCTTTATCGGCGCTTTTGTTGCCGTAAATTCCTACGTGGGCGGGGATCTACAAGATGGTTATTTGTTTGCCTGCTTTTGTTAGGTCGTTGGAGCTTTTAAGTATTTGGTTTATTAACTTAGGTCGATTTTGGGTATTTTTGTTTTGGAGGGCTTGTAGTCCACTAAGGGAGTCGGTGAGAATTAGGATTTTATTGTTGTTTTTAGATTGTTGGTTATGCAGGGCTGAGGCCATGCCCATAAGTTCGGCCGTGAATATAGATTGGTTGTTAGGGAGTCGGTAAGATTGTGTGGATATAACTGGTTGTGTGGTATGGACTCCGAAACCTGTGTGGTTGGAGATCGGGTCTGAAGATCCGTCAGTGTATATGTGACACCCATTTGGCCAATTTTCATATATGTATGCAATTGTGGTGGTTTTAGCTATGTTTGGGTCGGTTTGTTTATTTATTTGGTTAGCTAGCGTTGTGTCTATTTTGGGTATTTTGAGTTTAGGGGTGAAGATATTTGATTTTTTGCAGTTTTGTTTAAGATTTTTAATTTGGTGTTCATTGAGGTAGTTAGTTATTCTTTGGGATATTGGGGTGAGGGGTGTTTGCGAGCTAGAGTTTGGTTTCTTGGGCTTATGTTTTGGTTAATTATGAGACAACTAACACTGCAAAAACGAAAACGTCGTTTTTTCCGTATATGGTCATTGGACGGAAAAACGACGTTATTTGGACGCTTTCAAACCATCGTTTTTCCGTCCAAATAACGTCGTTATTTGACATCGGAATTTACTGGGAGAGAACGATATCATCAAGCTCCTCCCTTTCTTGATTGGCATTGTCAATCAAGCAACAGCGTCTACCGGTATTCCTACTTCTCAGATTTCATTGGTATGTTCTCGCGTGTTAGATTACAGGCCCGAGTTTGACGCTGTACTCGAAGCGCTTAGCGGAAGTACTGAAATCAATCGTTCTGCGCATGCGGATTGCTTAATGCCTTGTCCAAATTTTCCGTTCTGGGCATGCGCGATTTCGCGTATTGTTTCCACTATATGTCACCACTATTTAACAGTGATTCATAAACACAGTCTCGTGATGAGTTCGGAATCGTACAATGTCGCTTTAATTTATGGCACGTACTTGATCGGCGCGTATTTCCCATTCACAAATACAATGATAACGGTAATAATTTTAGTCAAAATAATTAGGAAAGCGCAAGGCTCAGGAACGTCTGAGTATAGGAAAAGGATTTATACTTTCGAAAGTTATATACTCGTCAAATACGCAAAAGAATATCAACCTGCTTTTAAAACTTATTTTTGTAGAAGGTGATCTTGGTGTCTATTGCCAGATAGTATATGCATATACATTTTCCAGATATTGCTTATTTTAATGTTTATTAATAGTTTTAAGGTTCGTCTGCCTAATTGACGGGATTCCACTTTCTCATTTGTACATGACACTTAAACAGTGTTCTGTTACTGTAAACAGATTAGTTTCAAATTCC